AAGCAAATAATAGTAATACAGTTTTATTGAAATTCCCATGTTACCTCACAGTGCTGAAATCGTGCCAAAATTACATGAAAATATTTCCTAGTCAGACTTATGCCAAATACCACAGCCGTTTTCATGGTCTTCTTCAGCAGCAACGTAAGAGCACACAGCTACAGAAATACCACTAGAAACAGACATTAATTTTTATTTAGCACCTGGGCAGCAAAGCAAGAAGATCAAGCCAGGACCGCCATATAAATAGCACTAGAAAGAATAACAAGCACTTCAGGAGACTGCAATTATAAAGCAGCCTGCTCAACTGCAAAAATAATAGCAGGTAAAGATCACACAGGGAGAAGACATGAAGAAGAAATAATGAAACAAAACAAGAATTTTACATAGGAAAGGTATAAAAAGGAGCGGATAAAGGAAAACAAAATAAAAACCCTACATTAAATACTCTCTGATACCTAGATATTCTCAAGCTATCTAGATGATATTAAAATCTACTAGATATACTTAAGATTTCCCACTAAATCTGCCGTGCAACAATTTTAGACTGCCTAACACACGTGCCCAAGTCAACTGGCATATTAAAGTCATTTGTGAAGAATGTAAAGGTACTGAAGTTGATTCAAAAGCTGAATCCAATAAAATACTGCCATTCACTTGCACGTGAACGGTTCCGGTTACGGTCATGGTCACTGTCACTGTCCCGGTTACAGTCGCTGTCATTGTCCCGGTCCCGGTTACGGTCACTGTCCCGGTTACAGTCACTATCCCAGGCCCGGTCCCGGTCCCGGTCACTCTCCCGGTATCCCGGTACAGTCGCTATCCCAGCCCCAATCCCGGTCCCTGTCCCAGCCCCGCCTGCCGCGCTCCCGCTCCGGCGCGATGGCGCCACCTGCCGGCGCCGGCCGGGAGCGGCCTCGGGCCCCCCCGGCGCTGCCCGGCCCGCGGAGCGCGGGACCCCCGGCACGAACCGGGACCTGCCCGGCAACGCGAGCCGGCAGAATTAGTCCTAAAAGTGACTTATGAAACGTGGAAGAACTACACATTTGTGTCACGGGGATCTCGGAACAAACACAGATATTCTTATTTTAATGAAAGCCCACTGAGCTGAGCAGCATCTACTTGCCAAATAAACAAATTACCTATTGGTTCAAAGGCTCATTCCCCAAGCCTTCAGGACCACGCAACGGCAACTTAAATTATTAAGCACATCAAACTGAAAATAGGTGGTGGAAAAGAAGAAAGGACGGGAAAGAGACACCAACACACTCACAAAAAATAGACTGAGAGAACATTAGCTAGTAATATTCTGCAAATGGACCAATCACTCATAATTACCCTGTTACAAACATCCCTCCTAACACAAGTGACCAATTTATTTATTTTTGGGAAAACAGTCACTGCCAGTAGTGAAGAATCACAATTTTTCGTAACAGAAGCATTAATACAAAGCCTAATTCTCAAAGGCAATGAAATTAGGATGGTTTTATATGATGCTGTCATTAATTCACTCCTTACTACACTCAAGGGAAATATTCATCCCAATTTTTACCAACACTTTCTGCTGATACAGGTCTTTTCCTCATGACAAGAGCTGAAAAGGAGAAAGTGTTCCAACTGGCTGTAGACTTACAATCCAAGTTTGAAAGACACACTCCTAATTTATTGGATTTTTCAAAACCTGCAAGGCTCCTCCTCCAAAGAAGCAGGATTTCTTCTACTCCTTAATGCTGACTTTTTGCACTTGCATGGGGATTTAGACAAAACATAACCATCTGAAGCCTCAGAACCCCTAGACTGTCAGATTTTCTGCTAAAATTGACAGCTACAGATCCTGTCAGGACTGAGGCAGCTGCAGAACAAGCGCCCTTTGAAGTGAGCACAGCTTAGACTGAACCAGCTATGAAGAAAGGAAACAGCAGAGGAACCTTCTCTTTATTTTTTAAAGCTTTTACTCGCAAATATTCACCTACCACTACGTGGCTAGAAAGAAAGCCTCTTCTCTGGTTAATTAGTAGTTGTTCTCTGTATGAGTCTCAGCCCAAGCCAGAGGAAACTTCAAAGGCCTCACTCATCAAATGTCACGGCACGAGCTCCACGTGAAGCTGCCAGTTCTGATCTGGCTGCACAGCTACGGCTCACGCTGGGCCGGGGAGCGGAGCTGTACAACCAAGTAATTGCTAAGCAATTGTGTAACAAAAGAACAAACTTCCATTGAAAAGATTTGGCAAAGTCACAGCAGTGGGCAAGACAAGAACTGAACAGTCTGCCAGCAGTACAATCCTGCTACATGCCTCACATGACAGCGTCTTCTTTACCCATAATCTGTGTAATCAGTGGTTTACCTCTTTTGTTCATTTGGCTTTTAACGTCCTTATCTGCACCTGTGACACCTGCAGCTTTAAAACAAACAAATCAGATCCAACACAGACTACTTAAGACTGTGTCAGAGCTGAGGGCCAGATTTCATTTTGTGGTTATACTCTGTAACACAAACATTCTGTAGCATTCTACTGCCACCAGTATGTAAAAGGAGAACAAAAAAGGTATCAAGCTAACATTGAGGGAAGAATAAAACACAGGACATTATTCATAAAAGAATGAAGCCTCAAGACTTCATCAAATATTAAACCAATAACATCTTTACACTCAGTAACCAATGTAACATAAATTTTGATGTACTAGCAGTATATACTTGTGATCTATCAGATATCTCTTGGTCAATAAATCTTATAAACTCTTAAGGACCCAAGTTCAATTCTCTGTTACTTCTTCTGCTTCATCAGGGCTTTTAAAACAATGCTGGGCATGAACAAGATTAGTGATTAGTCATAATTATTTCGGAAGGATTATTTAGCTTTTAATAAGCTTGGTTGAGTTCTCTCCCAATAAAACAAAAAAGAATAAACCATGCTTTATAAAGAACATAGGCTTATATAAAGGTTTATATAAAGAATAGCCCCATCCTCCCCCAGCTGTTTTACCTCACAGCGTCAACAGCCATTCCATTCCCAAAAGGCACAGAATGGTTTAACTGACACTGAAAGGATTAAGAATAAGCACTCATATTCTTTCATTCAGGAGTCGTTCTTACATTATTATGGGACAATTAGTGGTAGCACCTATTCAAAAATCATGTAATTTGTGTTCTGTCTTCTCAACACCCTCAAAAACAGGTGTGCGTAATGTTCAAAACATTATTTTTAAAAAACCGAGTAACTAGTTCTTGTTAATCAGATGCTCCCAAACTGCATTTTAAAAGGCATTAACATTTTCATTTAATAAATTCACTTCAAGATGTAATTTGTTGTAATTCCTAAATTTCTTAAAGTTAAACAGAGCTGTCATATCAAGAGGTACTGACCTCAGAATTCTGCTTAAGGAATTTATTAAGCACTCCACATCATTGTCTGTTAGAGCTACACTGCAATTTTTCAGTACTTTTTTAACCAATTCCATACTTTCTCCTCCATTAAAAACATATTGTTTATAAATTCTTTCCAAATGGTAACAAGACACTGAGAACTTAAGTACTTTTTTAGAAAATTGTATAAAGGAGAACTATTAAATCAGACATTAAACCAGCATGCCCTCACCCCTTCCAATTTCACAGATCTAAGTGGATTGCCATGATAATGTAATACAGCTTTCACTAAATATCAGAACATTTCAAAAGGATGATATTCCTCTTTGTGCATGAATGTCCATTTCTCAACATGCTTCCATGTGTGCAGCGCAGTAGCATCAGGCACCAAAAACCTCTCCATTACTGACACCGAACTAACACACGCACAAAAAAAGCTGAAAATTCCAGCCAGTCATTTCCTGTGTCAAAATGGTAAAGTCCTTCAAAATCAATTTCTCCTTTCAATTTTCCACAAATCAGAAATCCACATAGGTGAGTTTTCATCATGGTTTTTGACTAGCAATGTCAAATGTCTTTTACTTGCCAAGAGCTTTTTTATTCTTCAGTGAAAAAAACAATTTAATGCCACTAAGTACTGTTTTATACTAAGGAATCACAAAACCAGCTTAAGATTTATATGGTATGTACTAATGCATATGATCCAGATATAAACACAATATGAAAGTAAAATATGAAATACACCAAAGCTTGCAGGATATTTATAATGACAAGTACCAGAGTTACTGTTACCTTGAAAATAAATAAAACTGCTATCCACTGTCTTGAGCAGCAGTAAACAACAAGGCAGACAAGAATTTACATAAATTTATGTGTTGAAAATATTTAGTCCCTGATATAACACAATATTTCAATCCTTTGTTTCCCCTCCTACAGGGCAGTATCATCAAGCACAAAAGACACGACAGAAATGGAAGTACAATGCTAAATAAACCCTACAGAACAATCTTCCTTTACATCTTCCCAATAGGTGGCAACAGAATCCCAAAAATACAAAGAAGTTTATATATTTCTTTCTTCATCCACAAAGTAATGGAAGCCCTGTTACGACTTCAATCAATGAACTTGCACCAGTAATTTTAATCAAATGAATCACTGCATCTCAGGAACAGAAATTCTCAGGACAGAATAATGTCAAATGCCAGAGAATTCAGAGAACTGAAACAAAGCATTTATTAAAAAGCCAATTGTTATCAAACACCTAACCTGATGGCTTATACTCTGAGCTTATCTGGGAGGGGCAAACAACCACAAGCAGGAATTGCAGTAACAAAATATTTGAGCACTAAAGAAGAAATGTTAAGGAAGAAAGAAAATTCTGAACTACTTCTGTTGCTGTTGACATCCACACCTTGGTCTTAAGCAGCATTTATTTACGAGGGTCAGGAAAGGAGTGGGGACTTTTAAACAAAGTTTTCAGCTGACAACTTTGTGACAGCAGGAGGTCCACATTAACTCCCTGATTCCTTGTAGGAAATGACAGGAAGTCAGAGCTCTTTTCCCTCGGCAGCTAAACAACTACTTTGTTTTTGCGGCACAAAGCTACAGAAATCAGGTGTAAATCATGCCCACTTACTTGCTTTCCAGGCCAGGCACATCCCTGTCCAGGGAAAGCCTCTCCGCAGTGATCTCCACCTTCCTGACGCTGCCGAAGAAATCCGTGATCAGAACGTTCTGAGGGTCTCGCTGGAACAGGTCTGTCCGGTGCCCAGGCGTGGAAACACACAAGCTTTTTGGACAGACCTGGAACTGAAACCAAGACAGGCAGTCACATCCTGCCCCTCATCCAACACTCTCTACATACACCTTCCACAATGAAACGCCTACTAAAAAGAAAGATAAATAATATATATAACTTGCAATTATTTCAGTACAAGCTCCATAGTTGAAAAAAATGGTAGAAAAAATGCATTAAAATGCATAAATACCTTGATTAAGCATTTCTGAAAACCTTTTTCCTTACAATAATGCCACTGGAGTTTAAAAATGCTCCTGTGAAAGCCAACCATCAATTACATCTAACTGATAAATGCACAAATATATTGTTGAATATAGATGCAGCAATGCTGCTCTAACCTTCCAGAAGTCACAACTGGGCATAAATTCTTCATATTTAGCAAAAGGAGGCATGCAAAATTAAACAAGCTTTGATAAGTAGCTATGCTGAAGGCTTCATAAAGAAGCAAAAATCTACATTTTGATCAGGAAAAAAAACAATCCAAGAGTCTTGTTTCTAATTTATAGCCTACAAATTAATGCATAGGATCTTCTAATACCGAAAGTGCTTTATTTACATGAAGTTCACAAACATCCTGTGACACCTATAAACCTTATTATTTATTTTATCTATGTATTTTGACTACATATCAGATCCCCTATATCTCACACACGCTGCAACACCTGAAAGACAAAACCAGCACTAACAAAAGCAGAAGGAACAGTGACAGATTTGTTGCAGCATTTAGAACACCTGGCAAGACAGAATGTCTCTTAAGTAACAGGTCTGTTATGTACCCAGCAGACACTGAAGGCAATACAATTGCATGTTGGACACAAAGCTGTTTTGCACAAGTCCTACCACACTTGCCACAACACAGATCACCTGGAGACACTGCAGGTTATGTGAGTCCTTCACCTTCCAGCCACACAGAACGTTCTACACACGAGTTTTAACATACAGGACTAAGAATGTCACTCTCCACAGGGGTGTTCATCTTTCTTAATCTTACATTTTCCAAGTGAAAACAGGTCCATCAACCACAGGAACTAGAGCTCATATACCTAAATTACATCACGGGTCAGCTCTTACAAGTTGCATCCTTATGACAAAACCACAGGTCCTAATCAGCTCAGTGCAAATATAACTTGGAATTATCCCAGATTATGACTGACAAAAACCTGTGAGATTCAGGTCATACTTCCCAGCAGAAATACTGTGCTCAGCCTGACACAAAAGGCACAGGCTTTTGTTGCACATTCTTTCTGGACAACAGAGTCTTACCTTACAAAAAGTTTCCCAGAGAGGAAACAATCTATCTGGCTTTTCTTCATAGAGGACGGATTCTACCTCCCCATTCCTCCCTTCTACTCTATTCCAGTTTCTCTTTTATCCCTTTTTAGCCCAAGCCTGTAAGCAGCATTGGTCCAGGGACACCTCAGCTCACTTTCACCTTTACCTGAAGCAGACAAGCACACATATACACTCAGCTCTTATTTTCAAGATTCCCAACTCTTGCTGGCTGCTGTCACACAGCTGCTAAAGAAAAGATGGGACAAATCATCCCTTTGTTATCCTCCCTGTGGTGAAAATGAACTGGACTCATCAGCATCACGCTTCCCATACAAAAGCCATTTGTTAATGCACACACAAATTTGCTACAGTTCTCATTTTCACCAAAACACTATCCATTTTCTCCAGCTTTGCTCCAATTAAGGACACAAACATAAAAAATAATTCTCTGAACTAAACCATAAAAAGTAAGCATTTGCTTTAATCCCGCTATTTGAAGCATAAATTATGCTGCAGTTATACAAGTAAGTCTCTCACCAAGGTTTTGAGTATGAATGTCCTAATAAACTGCATCAGCATGAAAGTGGGAAACTGATACTGCACCCAACTAATTCTAACCTGTCCTGCAACAGTTTACTACAAGATATCGACATGAATTTGAGTAAAAATATAAAGTGGCAGTGAGAACAAAACTTCAGTGTTAAAAAACTACCCATCCACTACCATTCCGAGAAAGGACAGCAAACCAATTATACCACAGCGGACTAACACTAATAAACAAGGTCTTCCGACAAAAAAAGGAAAAGGCAAACACTGGCTGAGTTAAGCACACTTTTTCCTATATTAAATTTTCCAAATTTTAATTTTTTTTTCCAAACAGAGCTAAAGAACTCCCCCGACTTTATCTTAACTTTTCTAACAACAATTTAGCTCTTTTATGATAAATGACACCTCATTTAGAAATTTATTTGAATCTTATTTTAAAAGTTCAAATGTACAACATTTCCATGTACAAATGTACAAATTTCAATGTATTCTTTATTTTCAGGGAATTGTGATCAAACCTATAGTCAGTCATTTGCACAGCTTTATGCTATCCCTTAGCAACACAGATGGAGCAGGTGGGGAGTAGGTGGAGTGGATTATGAAAAATGATGTGTCATTCTTTGCAGGAATGCAATATCCAAATCCTAGGTGCATGTGAAGAGAAGCTGTTTCAAGAGTGGTTAGAGAAAAGTAAAGAGGTAACAGGATAGAAGAGGAATAACAAATACACAGTACTTCAAAAAGAGAAGACTTTAGACATATCAGAAGATCAAACAACTGAAGAACATATAATTTTAAAGCTAAGTAGTGAGCAATGCAAGTTACTCTGATCTTGGAAAGCATTAATTTAAACTTAAAAAATCAGAGTTGGAGAGTTGGATAGAGTACCTTCAGTGCCAGAGTACCTCCTGCAACTGCTGGCAAAAAAGCAGGTTTATATCTTTACCATGGACTAACCATATGTCATTTTGGAACTCTTAGATGAAGCCTTGAAAAGCACCAACCCAAAGTCAAGTGGTCACATTTATTGAAATGTGTGCAGATTACAACTCAATACCTGATCACACAATGGTCTGGGTTGCAAGAGACCTTAAAGACCACCAAGTTCCTGCCAAGGGCAGGGACACCTCCCACTAGACCAGGCCCTGAAGTCCCATCCAACCTGGCCTTGAACAGATCATCATAAATCACAATATGTTTGTGTCCCTTCTCTTCCACTCCCCAAGCATCAATCAGCAGATCAATGCATGATAAGATGACTTACATGATGTAAGGAATTTACCAGTATGGAGAACTTCCCTCAGCTATTCCTGAGTATCTGGCATAATAGCCAAAACACAGTTAGGTATCTTCTCTGAAGAGCTCAAAAAGTACCTGGCCAGCTAACAAACTTCTACACTTCTCACAATAATCAGATTAACACCTATACCACTTCCCAGAGAGTGTCTTACACAGTAGAAAGTACTGTTCCTTTTTATTACCTTTTATTATTAACACAAATTAATTTGAATGAACAGGCTAGTCAAAGATACTTAATCAATAAAGAACTTGCATGTTTTTCTTTATCAAGACTTATTTTAAACTTACCTGTATCCCATAATTAGAAGGTATTATATTATCGGACAGAATTTCATTCCCATGGAAATAAGTAAAAGAACCTTGAGTCTTAGCCATTGAATCAATTCTGTATCAACATAAAATCTGCCAAGTGTGGGTTGTTTAGAGAGAATTCTAGCACACATGTAGCAGTCAGGCTAACACCATCCTCTGTACACAGAGGGTGGCATAAAACTTTTGAGCAGCTGCTCCTTTTACAGAAATGAATCTATGACAATGTGTTCTGTAAGTGGTAGCTCTTAGATTACTGATGTGGCACAGCAGGATTTGTTGCTACAAGGTACCAAAGTACTACCCATTACTACAAAAAAAACTGGCATTGGAACAGGTATTAAGGGTTAATAGAACAAATAAAATATGGTTACTTTCATGTCATCTCACCAGTGTATATATCTTATATATATATCTTATTGCTAGAGAGACATTTTCATAAATTTTGTCATATGTTACCTGGTTGGATTCTTTTCTTCCTTCTGCTTCATACCTGAAATCTACAGTAATGTTTGCCTCAGCTATAATTAAGTTCAACCACTGATGGATTTGTACCTATCTTGCTCTGGAATCTAAGCAGATATACAGATAAATTAGTCTCTGCAGGAATTTGTGAGTGCACTGTTAGAATTTTAACTGTTTAATCACATGATGTTGTTTTGCAAAACGACATCAATGCCTGCTTTTCCACATCTGCAAAGTGTCTGCTATCCTGATTTTAGAAGCTTCCTGCTAAAATATTTCACATGCAAAGGCTTCATTCCATTTATACAAATATCTAATGAATACCTTATTATTTTTTTCAGTGAAAATACAAAATCTGGCTAATTTTGGTCATTTTTTTCTGGAGCCAGCAAAGCACTTTCAAATGAGGACAATCCTTGAAGTGTTACACAACTACATTTAACAATCGCAAAAAAACCCTCCCTCCAAAGCTGCTTCCGAGAGAAACAGCAGGAGCATAAAAAGCATTTGAAGAACCCTACAGACAAAACAGATTAGTTTTGGAACTATTAAAGTCATTAGCATATTCATGAATGTTGAGTATCCTACTTACTAGGTCATTCATATTCGTCTGACTGGCTGGATGGATTTCTTCCAAGAACTCTAACACATAGAAGGTGTATCTGTCCATGAGGTGAACGCCAATCCCCAGGTCAGGCTGATGCTTTCAAAACAACACACAGCAGTTATTGGGCATTTGCAGGAGAGAACTCAGCATTCAGGAGAAGGAACAGAATGTAATAGCATATTGCAAAAGTTAAGCTTGATTCTTTTTGTTCTTAGGCAAATTATGCAAAGAAAATGGCTAGCTGTGAAGAAACCTAGTGCTGATAGGCTGAACAATGCAGTTTATCTATAAATAATATATATATATATATATATAAATATAAATATATGTAAATAATAAATATATATAAATAATAAATATATCTATATTCTGGCAATATCTATGTTGTCCAAAAGGCAGGGAACCCCTTTTTAATAGTCCAGCATGGATGTGTAGACTTTGAAAACAGGGCTGGAAGAGCCAGTGTATCTTACAGCAGTGCATGGGTTCAGGTAATCCTGACCAGCTGCTTTTGGTCTGGCTGGGATCTCTCCTATGGCTCCTTCTGTTATTCAGCTGGGATATGATTACAGCAGGTGAAGGTTAGCATTTTGTTTTGTTTTATATCAAGTATAGTAAGTCCTAGATTGAATATTCCTCACACCCAACTCTCAGCAGTCTTCCCATAAGATTCTGTGCTATCCCTAGACAATGCAAATACTAGCCAGCAAGCAGAGATATCCTTCATTAGCCAGGTTCTTTGGGACAGCACAGTTACAAGTTTTGTCAAACCCCCACAAAATATCTTATACATTCAGCAATTAGAATAAGAGAAATCTTTAGCTAAAAGTCAGCAGGAATTGTGCTTCTAATTCAGGCATTCTGAAAACTGTCTTCAGGATCACATAAATCTACTTACTGATAAAGAATCTTCTCCAACTTGGCTGCTAGCCAAGGCCATTATATTGGGTGAATAAAATCGTTCATACATGGATGCTCCTTGACAAGTATCAATAATAAACAACAATTCATTGTACCTGAAAGAAAGAAAACAGCCTCCTTACCCATTTCTACTTAAACATCATATACATACTTTGCTTTTTAGTTACCAGGGCAGCTGCTCAAAACCTAAGGAACAGGAGCTCACCCTGATCAGTTTTAGGATGTGAATTTGCCCAGAGCAATTCCTTTGAGCAGCTCTAACTGCAGGAAGCTGAAAGCAAAAACTAAAACTCTGCTCTTTGAATGCAAACTCTCAGAAAATTTTATGAACAACCAACAGTATCACTGCTGCAGGTAGCAAGGCATACCAGAAAGACACACTTAAGAGTATGTTCAGGATATTCAATATTCAATGTCTACATAATGCTTATTTCTTACCTTCTTTTCTGCCACATTTGTTCAAAGGCATCAGCAAGCTCTACATTTGTGATTTCTTCAGAATCCTGAAATTTTAGGAAACCATTTCCACCATGGCCTGACAGAAAAATAAGAAGTTGGGCAAGGATGTAGGTTAAAAGAAGATATACAGCCTTGTAGATCATTTTTCTAAAACAAGGTAAACACAATTCTCTTTCTACAGAAACAGTCCAACAAAACAAAATATCAGTACAGTAAAAAAAAATACACATACACCATTTCAACAGGAAACGATACTGGCTTAATACTGCTTTACAGGCATTTTTTCTTAATTAGAATAACATGCTGAAACCAGAAAAAAAATCTTTTGGTCAATCCTTTTGTGCATTTGGACTACTGATGCTTTCAACAAACGCATCCAACTGAGCAAGCATCAATAGATTGTACACAGAAACCTGCAATTACCTGTCATATAAATTAAAATATTGCTTCTGTCATCAGAAAGAAGACGTTTTGATCGTGGTGTGCTTGGTGGGATTCTTCCCGTTAAAACACGCAAGAAATTTTCCACAGTAACCTATGAATAGAAGCATAAAGTCATTTCCTAAAGATAAAAATATTGATCAGCCACAGGCTAGGTTACAGCAATTAAATAATGGAACACTAAAATATGCAGTGTATCTAACCAGACATAGTATGGCATGGTGTAAACTGCATAAACATTTTCTGTGTAAGGTTTTACTTCAGGTTAAGAATCATGTGGTACTTTTTACTATACTCCACTAACACCAGCTTGTTGCTTAATTATATCCAATAAATCTACCACCATTATTAAATACAATTTTAAAATACATTTACATTGATCTAAAAACCTGTCAGCATATAGCTTCATTGTGCCAAAGCTGCTCCTGTACTCACAAAATACTCCAACATTAGTGTGTGTTACCATGGAAAAACAAAAGTTTAAATTCCCTCTGCAACTCAAGAAAGAAAAAACAAGATCAATTTAGTTACATAAATGTGAGTGATCACATGAGATCCATCTGAGTGGTGACTCCAACACATCCTATAAAACACCACTTCCCTTTTAAGTACACGTGCACAGCTCAAATGCCAGCAACAAATCCATACCCAGGAAAAAACATGATAAAAGGAATGTAGCTCTATTCCAGTTCTGTGTCTTCACTTCTTTGTATAAAGCTTCAGAGAAATAAAACATCTACTACATACTGAAATACAATCCAATAAACCTTTAGCAATAATTCTACAGCACTACTGAACCAAGAAACTGGTCTGAAATTTTGTCTCAACTGGTAAAGACCCTCCTGGTATGAAGGAATATTACATGAAAAGAAAGGTGACAGAATGCAGATTTTTATACAGTAATTGCTTTGCAGTAAGGATTAAGTTATGGCTTTTGTTTTATTTTAGGAACATATGCTTAAGATTAGGAATTGAAGTACAGCTACCTAATAAACAATTCACCTGCACACCAAAATTTTCACAGTAATTTTTGTGTTGCCAAGATGAGACACTGAGCAGTCATTTCCAGAGCAATTTCGGTAATGTGATTCTATTCCATTATTTAAAATAGGTACACTAAACATGATTCTAGTATAATGAACTACAAATACAAACTCAAATATCAAGGAGGGGAGGGGTATGTATTTTACTCTCATCAGCTGATAATAAAAGCCCAGCCCAAAACCAGTAATATGAAAACAAAGACTTTCTCAGACTTCACAGATGCTGCATAAATCTTTAACACTAAAAAATAAAGACTCAGTGTTTTAATTAAAGCACAGTTACCTCATAGCTTCTGTAATCCACTTCCACATCATCTCCATAGACATTCAGCTCCATGTTTTTATGACTAAACACAGTAGCAGGTTTGGGATTTCTGGGATTACATGCCATATCATCTGCCAGCATCAAGACAATGTGACTGTGAAAGATAAGAAAAAAACTATCTCAGACATTCTGCTTTCACATAACACTCAAACAGAAATTAGAACAACACTCTTTAACAATTACAACAATAGATTGGATCATTAAAAAGATTCCTAGAATTGCAAGTGAAACTTTGCAGAATTATACCCTATTTCCTTCTGAGCATCCTAAGTATCACAAAGATGTCACACACAGTAATGCAGCTGCCTGTCATTTATCCACAGGACTAAGTCCAAAGAGGAGCAGGAGAATATTTGACATCAGCAACTTTAGTATACAGGCTTGCCTGGACCCAGGGGGCCAGAGCTCTTAATAAAATAATTCAGATTTTTACAGGGCACTAAAACCAACCAACTCCAAGAATCATAATAAATGTTTATTTTTTGGATGTGATTTTAAGTTTGTTGGGAATATTTGGTTAGGTTTTTTTTGTCTTGTCAGTATTTTGAAAGAAGTCTTGCAGCAAATAAAGAAAAACACATAAAGTATGTTTGCCTAAGGAAAAAACATGCTCAAATCCACATAAAAATTGCTGTAAAGGCTAAATAAACAGCTACCTCTCGCTCTCTTTTTAGGTCTTCTCCAATGTCTTGGAGAGTGCTCTTGTCTCTAATCCAAAGCATTGCTGGCTTTTTGAGATTAATTCCAGATCTTTGGATATGGATAAGCAATGGATCTTGCTACTGAACACAGAAATCTCAGTCACACCATAGTTCTTGCAGTATTTCTAAAACTCACACTTATTTTGACTTTAATGGTAAAGACAGACGGATGCAAAGAAGATGAAAGTTCTCAGGTAAGGGCAGAATTGATGACACAATTTCTGAGGCAGTGCCAAGGTCACCTGTGCTTCAAAGGCTGCACAGGAGAGAAGACAGCTGCTCCTGAATGACATCCTCAAGAACAAAAGCATCTTTCTGCGCCTTTCAGCCCACAGCACTTCTGCAGCGCATTCTCTTGGATTTATAACCCCAAAATGCATCTAAAAATTGAGTTTCAAACTCCACTCTTTCAAAAACCAGAAAGTCACTCCTTTTTTTCTTTTTTTAAATATAAGAAACACAGGGAACAGGATGTTACTGTCAGTGCATTCAAAGTTGAGTGGGAGTTAACTGGGGACTCCAAGTGTGCAGTTTTGGACTTGGACCTTGGACAAAAAAATGCCAAACTAATTCCATCCATCAGAACATGCATTTTGCAGTGATGAAGCAGGCCACACTTCTTCAGGCAGACATGCTGGAGAAACTACCAGTCCTCTAAACTACCATTAAAAACCAGGACTACAAGGAATTCTATAGCAGCCTATGGTACATACAGGTTATTACACAATGGATGCTGGTGCCTTAAATTCACTTCCACAGTTCTGACAGAAATTAGTTACATTCTGAAACAGCTGGAAGGAGCTGTGCCAACACCACTAGAACTCTGAGTAGGAACACAAAGATACTTCAGAACCTTCCTATTCCCTTTGTCAAAGAAGAGATACTGTTCCAACCCTTGTGCATCACTAGGGAAACACAGCTTGTACAGACAAAAAACTGGTTTGTCAAATAAAATCATGCAAAATGGATTTTTTTCAAGGCAACTGTCAATATACAGGAGTTTCTCCTATAGGTCAGAGCCTTTAAAGACCCAATGTAGCTACAGATATGGAAGTCTTACATCTTAGTACAGTCACAGTTACCAACATCTCCACACTAAAAGGAAATTAAAGTACAGCAAGACTCACCTCTCACAGAGGTACTGCCTTTGCTTAGTGCATTTAAGTTTTCACATTACTTTCACCCATTTGCTAAGTGGTACATTTTAGTGGCTAGATCTAATCAGCCTGTTCCAAAAGGAACATTTTATTATGCAACTTGCTGCTTTTTCTTTGGAACAATATTGTTGCACTTTTCATCACGTTGATGTGCTTGCATTCTTCCTTTTCACTTTTATCCAGTTAAACTGGGAAGAAAAATGTATTTCCATACTGATTCAGATACCATGAGAACTTTAGTAGCCCATTTGCAAGAAGGGGATCCACCAAGATTTCCTCACCTATCAGGAATGCCTAGCCTCTTGACACTTCTGTACACGGAAAGAGTATTTGCCACATGACGATAATTAAACCAGAATCGAGATGTACACACCTTGAAACAGAAAAAAACCCACATTAAATAGTGTAAAGATTCAAACTGGCCTGACACATTGCATCAGAACAACGTGATTACAGGAATATTTAAAAAATAGTAACAACTCAGAAAGAATATAGTAACACCAAGAAAATCATGATATAAGTTATGCAATTCTTAGTTGTCCCAAGGCAAAAAATTCTGATAATAAAAGTTCAAAAAAAAGTTCCTAGCATACTGACTCAAGATAAAATTGTTATAAACCCTTACTAAATATAGAAGGTGGCACTTTGGGGAATAATCCAGCAACATCAAGTAGATAAAATAAATTTTTTCATTTGCTTTCTCCTTATCAAATGGAAGAGAGATCAAAGGAAGAGTTCTCATCTCAATGGCAATCCCATTCCGGGAGCATTCTTCCACAAAGGCACAAGTGAATTAATTCATGCAGAAGCCATACACAGGGGAAAATGCCCTGAGTACATTTGCATTTATGGAGTCAAAGTAAGAGCAAAGTAAGCTCTAACCAATACAAATACAAATTAATCTGGATACAAATTCTCAAAGTTTAATTTCTACTGTTCTAACAGGCAAGGGGTCAGGGCTCAGCCATTCCCTTTACTTACACACTCCCTAAATCAGGTTCTGATTCAAACATTCCAAAAGCTTCTAGAAAAGGTGACTTTAAAATCACAAAAACAGAGATGCAGGAAAAAATCATTTAGATAGTTTTTTAATTTTCCAGCCCTAAATGTAGAGCTGTGAGTCACACCACATAGCATCTCTTTCACTACTCTTTCCATAATAAGAACTGACTTGTAGCTTAAGTAATAATAAAATTCAGTCTGAAAGGATCCCCTTGTGTATCTATCACCCTGTCAGTTAGGAATTCCAGAAAACCCCACAGGAATCAGTCCATGAGAACATCTGCCTTCCAGCAAGACTTAATGCTCTGAAAACAAACTGTGTCCAATTTAGCTGAGACATTTCAAGGCACTATCACCTGCACCCTGCCTCTAGTACCTCCCTTAGAACACAGTGGAAAGTGTCAGAGCTTTAAATATAGCTATCCACACTGCAGCACATTAATTCAAGTTATTGATGAGGTGGGATTGCAGTTTGATCCCAGGTTTGAAGTGCCTGACAGCAGTAACCTCTCCCTGGTTTGCTGCTTAAAATATTAGTAGCAACTATTACAAAACTCAACAAGGAACCACCGAGAAAATAAAACCAACAGAAAATCTGTTCAGCAGAGACAGTATAGAGGTTCTTGGACCTAATTTTCCACCTTCTTTATGTGTTTTTATCGGTACTAATAAAAGCATCTATTTGTTAATAGTATTAAAATAGTATATTATGTTTTAATAGTTTAAAGTTTGTACATTGTAAAATATAAAAGTTATTTCTTCAATTAGTTACTGTTAATTTTCCTTCTATATTGCTCAGTTTTAGTATCTGGAAAACAAACAGCTGCTACTGAGTAATTACAATAGTGTTCTGAAACAAATTAGTCATTAAGACCTGAATTGTGATTAAGAACCAATTGTGCAGCATGATTCAAAGCTAATAAAAGTTATATGGCAAAGAAAAAAGAAAGGGTACAAACAGTTGATCCAAACACTGTATTGCCTCAACTGATCTTATTCCCAGTCTGTTATCACAAGTTAACAGATTGAATAAGAACAAAAATAATACAAATTCTACCTTTCTGCTCAAAGAGACCAGACTTCCCTGCTACCAGAATTACACCTTTTTTTCAACATGCAGTATGTTAATTTAACTATTTTAATGCTTTTGGAACTTTTGTTTTATGAATCCTGCCATGTAGCTAGACACACTGAGTGCTTCAAATTCGGTCATATTGAAAAGACAATTTCACTATACTGTAATGAATTTGCAGGCACAATTTGAAATTTATTTATTTCCAAATGTTTATCTTTCTATTTCTTTCAAATGAGCATGGCTCTTGAATGACTGTTGCAAATGCAGCTCCTGATGAAAAACTGTCAACGTTATAGGAGGAAAACAACCTGGACCATGCTTACCAAAACTGCCCAGTTATTCGTATGTCCACTTCTAAAAAACTGCTCTGCTTGATCCTGAAAGATGAAAAAAAATTAGATTTTTCAGCAATAAGAAAGAAATGACCACTCATCATTTTGTTATTTCCACAATAGTGTTCAATGTACATGTTTACCACACATTAATACTGAATAGACCTTAGTAAAGCTAGAGGAGAGGTGTTTTTCTTAACATTTGCACATTTCATGTTAAAGCTCCAAATATTTCCCTGAAACTTGCTACAGAACAAAGAGGAACTATTAGTCACTTGCACCTTAGTTAAAAAAGCCCACACACCTCTATGCCAAAGCACACTCCAAGAACAAGATAATGTGATTTATTGACCTACAGTTTCATCCTTAATGAGAATAGAGCCTAGGATTCGATTCAATTCAATTTTCAAAAGCAGGTAAGAGAATATGCAGTTTGAACCCACTTTAAATCCAAGGCAGTTACACTTATCTTCCAAAATCAGGATCTATGACAGCAACCTTCTATATAAATCTGTGTTCTCCACAGTTCCCACTTTCCTTTGCAGATAAGAGGCCCCTTTCTCCTTAACAGAGAGCATAAATCAGGACACAACAAGGGGCTAAGACTTCACAGAGGTAAGGGCATAAGTCTGTCATGGGACAACAACCCAAATCTGCTGACCCTTAAATCAGACTCTATTAACTCTGAGGAGTTCTGGGATGATGCTCATGGTCTTACACAAAACACACAGTAACAGAAATACTGTTGTACTTCAAGCAGCAAACAACCTGCAGTTTAATTAGTCATCCAGAGATTGTAAGAATATTTCTATTGTTCAGGGTGCGGGGGTTGTTTGGTCCTAGTTGTAATTAATTTCAAGCATAACAACTTGTTAATAACGCAGAATTCAAAAGCAAACAACACTCCAGATGCAGCGTGGGCACAGCGCATTAAGCTAATTGCTGAAACATGAAATTACTCCCACCTGACAAACCCACTGGCACCTGCCGTGTACAGGCGGGCACCGGGCCGGGGAGCCCAGGCCGCTGCTCCGCCCTGGGAGCGCCCGCGCCCGGCCCGGGGCACACCGGACGGGGCCCGCCGGCTCCGGCAAGGGACAGCAGACACCCAATACAAGTTACAGTGTGTGGCAGAGAGAAAGTGAATTTCAGAAAAACCCGCAAGAGGATGAAAAGTCTGGGGGTTTGTAACTTTCAGCAGCTTGAACAAGGCACCAGCGCTCTCGGCACACAGAGCGCCACGGTTCCGCCCACGGGGCAGCGCCGGGAGGCTCCGCCCGCCGGGAGGCAGCGCTGGTGACCGCGGCTCAGTATCGGTGCCCGTGTTACCGGCAGGGCTCCTCCTGCGAGCCGCCAGCCTACGGACAGCCGCCAGCTCCGCGGGCAGCCCATGGGCGCTCTCCCTGCCCGCCGAGGGGCGGCGATGGGGACGCGGCAGCACCGAGCCCCAGGCGCCGCCCGCCCGCCCGCTCGCTCTCGGCCCCGCCGCGGCTCCCCCAGCCCCGTACCTGGAGGCCGCCGGGCAGCGCCGCGCCGCAGCAGCCCAGCAGCAGCAGCGCGGCGGCGGCGCGGGCCCGGGAGGCGCCGGGCACGGCAGCCGCCATCTCAGCCCGCCTCCTGCGCGGCCCGGCCGCGGCTGCCGGAAGGGAGGCGGCGGCCTGTGCGCAAGTTCCGCGGGCGGGAGCGCCGCCGGCCCGGGGCTGTGCCCTGCCCGCTGCCGCCGGCCCGGTGCCTTGGGAGCGGGGCCGCTGCTGGGAGCGCGCCGGGGTCTCTGGTGACGCACTGAGCTCTGCCGGCTTTCCCAGCCTGCCGGGCTGGCTGGGCAGAGGCGGTAATGGCAGCCGGTCTGGCGTTGCCTTGGGCACCCGAGTGCGCCGTGGCTCCGTCGTGAGCTGGGACTGGAAAACACCGGCCGCGCATCCGCCTTCGGCTCGGTTGGCTCCTGCGGGGTAACAGCAGCCCTTCCTCTCAGCCGCCTTCCAAGAATTCCGTGAAATCCTGGGCTCTAAGAGGGCAGGGCATGGCGAGCTGTGCGCCAAGGGTGTCATCAGGTCTTGGTGGCCGCAGGGCTGCCTTGGAGGGCGGAGGGGACGGCTCGGGAGAGGGACCAGCTTTGGCAAGGGAGGGAGTGGGACCTAAAGGTAGATTTTTTTTTTTTCATGAAGCCTTGCTATAGCTTTGCCTGTAGTGTATTCATCCCTCAGAGCTGATGCATCATCAAATTTTTATTTCAATGTATTGAACCACTTGGTATGATTCTTTTATTTCTACTATCTCATCTTGTCACTACTTTGTTCAATTGCCTGATGCCTTCCATTAGTGAAGATGCAGAATCTGCCCTGAACCATGGAAGTTATATCTTGCTCCATGTACTTGTCACCAGTAATGACTTTCTCAGACAGGAGCACATTTCCAAGTATTGATGTTGGAATTTCAATAGCATCACATTTGCTGTTTTAAAGCATCACTGGTTTCCTTGACAAAAACAATCACCTGTTATTAGATGGTACTTACTCCCTTCAGAATACCATAGCCACCAGCTCCTGTTGTGCCTGAACCCTTCAGTGTGAGCCTCTTGTGAACTTACTGAAAAGTGCTATGGTTGTCAATGTCTGTTCGTGCCTGCTTGTAAGCTGCACTGTTTATCTTCTTCCAGAAAGCTAAATGAATTTAGGGCCAAACTTAAGCTTTTTTCTTGCCCCTTCAAATGCTTCCACTTAGGTCTCTTGATCATTCTCAGATGTGGTCATGATGTGTCAGTATTCTAAAGGATAGACAAGGATAATACTAAAGGATCTCTCCAAGCATGCATTCATGCAGTTTGGTAATGAGTTGATTTCATATGCCTTGCCTCAGATAGCACCTCAATACCTTTCTGCTCCCATGTGGAATTGGCCAGGAAACATGTGACAGAAGGTCTGAGCCTGTGACTGAACTTCTTTTAGTTAAGCTTACTTCCTTGCTCTTTGCACTTATTACAAATATTCATCCTTTGGTAACATCCTTTTCACACAGAAATGATGTCAGCAGCTGTATCCTGATGATGCTTCTTTGAACCACACAGAAATCCTGGTGTTTGTACCATGTGAAAATTATGTCAAATATGGCCAAAAGGTGACTTTTGGCTTACCAAGAAACATTCTTGACATGGGAAGTAATTAACATCTTTTCTGTGAATAAAATTTAAAATCATCCTGTTTGCTTACAAACTCCTGAACCTCCTGAAATTTGTATCAGAGGTGACTGTAACTTTTTCCTTCTTTGGAATGCTAGACTTTACAGTTTTAATAGCATTCTTTAAAGGTCACTGTGTATGATTTGCTACTTAAGAAAATAAACTGAAAATGTGGAAAAAACCCTCGTGTGGCATTGGAATGATACAAACACAGGTTAGAAATGATAGCAAATTTTCATTACGTGGAAGATCACTTGTATTTCTCATGGTTGCATGTAGCTGGGTTTGCAATCACCAGGAAGGTTCAGTGGGCTCCTGATGCAAAAGCTGCAAACATAGCTGCATACATAGCTGATACATAGCTGCACACTCTGAGTTCTTGTGTCCCCTGGTGTCATCTGCTGCGTGTGAGCAGTGTTTGGATCAGCCCCAGCCACACTGCAGGGGCTGCTCTTTGACTGTGGATGTTCAGGTCCTGTTGCTGCCTTTCCATCCCAGGGCAGAGGCAGCACTGAGTTAAGGCAAGCTCAGTTGCACAAGCTCTTTGGAATATTCCAAAAGAATGGCCATTACTCCCTCTGATTAATATTCTGTTAATACTGTGCATCACCTTCTTAGGTCTGTCTCTGGTTTGCCTTCTAAATTCCCTTAGCCTATTGGAGTGTCTTTTCTAATGGATCTAATTCTCCTTCTACTTCTGGCTCTTATTTCTTTACAGGCTCAATCTTTCTGGGCTTTAGTATTCATCAGACATGTATGAGTGTGCCAGTGCTTCAGGCATTATTCCTGGAGGTGGTATCACGTCTCTTTTTTTTTCTCCAGTAAGACAGTACCAACAGCTTTGTCCTCATTTTTTTCATCTTTATTCCCTCAGGCAGCTCTCAGTACATACTTCCATGCCTGTACAGGATTTTTTTTTTTTGTCTGGAAGTAAAGATCTATGCTGTCTGCTCCTGTTTCTTCATTCTGCTTTGTTTCTGTGCTAGTAACAGTACTTCTCATGCTCTGAGTGTCTTTAGCTTGACCTTTGCCACAATGTGTCTTGTACTTCATGGTGAGTAATTAGAAAGGACATCAAATGTGTATTCCAAACCTATTTGTAATTAAAACAATTGTTTAAAAAGCTGCTGTAACTGCAGCTGGTGTTCACATTGCTGCACTGCTTGGTGCCCTTCCAGATTCTTTCCTCCTCCAGCAGGTTGCTCAGGCCCTAATCCTCTAATCTATACCCTCTAGAAATTGCCCTTTATGAACCATCTGTCAGCTTGTTCCTGTCCAGCATGGAGAAAAAAAGTCACTGAGGAGGAGCAGAAATCCCAAGTGTAACCCTATAAGCTCCTAAAACAAGAATTTATGATACTAGAGTTCACCTGACACTTTCTAATCATGAAATTGGATTTTTTCCTGTACCAAAAATACCAATTAAATATTCGTAACTTTGTTGGCACTAATCTTGATTGTATTACTTATTTGTATCACAGTGCATCTCTTCCTTCTTCTATACTCTTGATCACTGTTCTGTGTCTGCTTTCCTGTTTGTTTTAGACTTGCATGTACTGTCTGATAATTGTCTCCTGTGTAAAAGAAAAAAATCTGTCTTTGGCTGTATTTGTTGTGCTTCCAAAAGAAAAATTAAAATAAGTTCTTGCAATGACATAAGTCAACAAGAGTGATTCTAAAGGAATCATCAATAATAGCTGAACTCTACTATCCCACTAAAAAATGCAGATTTATTGCTTTCTTCCTTTTGACTGTCAATACAATAGATTTTAAAAATGCCAAAACAAGTCTGCTGTAGTTTGGTATCTCAGCTGATGAAATGGCAACAGTAATTCAATTATTGATTGATCTCACTCATTGGTGTTTTTCCCCCCTTCGGTTAATGGAAGGCTGGCTTGACTAAAGAATGTTCATACTTTGAAAAGATTTACAATAGCAAATTATTACTGATAAAAAGTAGGCAAAATTAATATAGTGAGAGTAATAGATACAGAACTTCCAAAGGAAAATTATTTGAAAGAAGCCTTGTTTCTAATTTTACTGAGCTGAAACAGTTGTACTGAAGGGTGTTTGTCAATAGATTCTCTTTGTACTCTGGCTAAACACAGTAGACTGCACACTTCTGTTCAACCGTAGTATCAAGTGGCTTAACTCCACATTGGAATCAAATAAGACAGTATTTGTTACTGTTATTTACAAAGTGGGATTATAGGAATACTGTTTTACAGGCCTTCTGAGGTCAGAATAGAACACAGACAAAAACCTTGAAGCCTGCAATGAAATTCAGTTGACATTTGTTCTTAATGAATTAACCATCTACCTTGTCATCAGTTCTGTTCTGTCATTAATGATGTAAATATTACCAGGCATTGAATTTCCATACTGTTGAATTGTGAAATAAACAAGTATTACATCTTCAGAAGACAAGAAGTTACCAACCATTCCAACAGTTTATTCTGTTGGTAAAAAAAAAAAGGTAAAATATGAGAAAAGAAAACATGGAAAAACAGTGGCAGCTTACTGGAATAGTTAATTAGGTCACATTTAGTCTTTCTGCACCAGTATTTTTCTCAATAGATAAAGCTGAAAATATTTTCTCAAATCATTATTAAAAGAGCAAAATTGGGAAAAAGACAGCAGTAAACCTCCCCAATGTATTATTTATTGAAAACATTATTTAAAATTACCCTCCCCATTGTATTTTTTCATTGGTATTTCAAAAGGGTTCATGCTCAAATAGAAAATTCATGGACTTCTTAATTAGAAACAAGATAAGAATCTTAATTAAACTGCCCTAAATACAGCTAAATTTAGAACCAGTTTTACCTTTGTCTTCAAGCAGTGGATAGAACATTGTGGTTTAGAATCGTTAAGAAGCCATCACTTTTATCCCACTGCCAGTCCTGACATCTGTATGATAAATCTCTCCTGTGTGCTGAACACACCAATACCTGAGTGCCTCAGCAAAGTCCTCCCTGTAGGGATTGAGCTGAAGTGGCCTCAGCTCTGCTGGTTAAATTAACTCAAATAAAGGGCAGTGTTGCTGATAGACTCATTTTAGCTCCCAAACCAATACTTAAAGCTATTGTGTCTACTCAAACTGGTCTTCAGCCTGCAATCTAAATATAACCTTTTGTCTTTCAAGTAATTGTCTTATTTGCAAGCAAGGGGGTTTGTATTCCATTGAGAACTACTCATCAACTATATGAGAAAACCAACAAAACATTTGAAAAAAAAGGCTGGATGCACATCAGCTTTACCTGGAAAAAGTCAGTATTATGAAAATCTTGTTAGAAATAAGATCTACAGTGAGCCCTGAGTCAACTTTATAAAAGGTTACTCATGCTCCAAGTACAATAACATTGATTAACGTTAAACATTTGTACAGTGACTAAAACTGAATCCAGTATATTGCCAGGAAAGGTTATGCAGATCAATGTGTGATGGGTACTGAAATGTCATTAAACCTGACTAGTGGAAGTGTGACTTGAGAAGCAAAATTTAAGACAAATCCAAAAATTAGGCTGTTAAGGAATTTAATGAAATATTCTCAATGAAAGGAATAACTTAATATTTTAAAATATAAATATACATTGTTGTTGTTCTTCTTCTTAATGTTTATCCAGGAAATTTGGGGAAGAGCAGATTGAAACAGCCCAACCAATTTTTAGATAAAACTTTACTTGTAGTTTTAGGAGCAGCTGCTCAAGAGCAGATCAGCAAACCTTAATAATTTCTCACTCTACTCAAACTGTGTAAAGCAGAGGGATCATTTTCTTCTCTCTTTAGCTTCATTTACCAGGATTGTGTAAAAGCTGCTGTGGATCAAGTGGAAAGTGCTCATGCTGAACTAAGCATAGAGTATCCTTCAATAAACTACAAGTTCTAAGTCCATGCTCTTGGAAATTAAAAGTATCTGTTTCTGTGAGCTCATTTACCAGAAACTCTTCCCAAGTACAAGTGCCAGAACTACTTCATAAATTAAAATCATGGTGCTTGGCAGCCAGATTTTGCTATGATTTATAAAAATGAAGTATATTTGAAATTTCTTTCTGCACAGGTCAGTAAAAAGCCTTTTCACCATGACAATGCTGGCACTCAGTGCAAGGTGGAATTTTACTTTAAAAATTAAAAGAGCTATTACTAAAGCAGAAAGTCTGGAAAAAACCAACATATTCAGCAAGACAGTAAATCAGTGACTTGTCAACCCATCAAATACTTCCTTTCTTAAAAGCCAAATTGTGTGGCCTAAGTTAATGATGATATTGTGCAAACTGAGAAGAACTGCCCACACAAGAATGAACTCTTGTGAAATCTATGAAAGTTTTTCTATATTGTTTTGCAACTCATGAATGAAGAATTCAAGCCCCTCATTTTCACCTGTCTTTTATCTTTGTGCTATGGAGTGTATCCTGATGAGATTTTTCTAACTGAAAGAGAACATCAAGAAAAAGACCTAGTGATAATTGGAATTACCAACACATGAATATGTGCCTGTCATTTCTGTGTATCTGTCCTGTGACCTGAACTAGTTGTTTTTGCTGCTAAATATCTGTATTACATGAATATGTAAAAGCTACATTTACTACAGTTAATGACCTTTTACATTTTAAGGCAGGCATTTGAATTTACATGTTCATTCAAGGTGATTGATTTTTACATGGAGAAAAGGCACCCATCAGTCAATCAACTTCAATTAATCAGCACTTTAATGGATGCATTTGCAAAAGTATTATCTCAGCAAAAATCACCTTCTTGCACTTGAACTCTCTTAGTTATCAAGGATTTCCTTAAACACAATTTTTCTCATTATAATATTATGTAAATGCTTAAAAACCCCCTTGCATTTTAGCTGCATGTGGATATTAAATATATATCTCAAAAAAACCGCAATAATACATCTCTTTATCAGGTACAGAAATGTAAGGATTCCAGATCTAAGTTTCACAAACAGAACAAATTAAGACTATTCCTTTCAGAATAGTTACATCAAATTATTATATGAGGTCAAAGGTACATAGCTTTCCTTGCTACTTAGCTTTAGAATGAAGATGGTAATCATTTGACATTGTTAAATGTAAAAATAATTACTGCTTTTTAGCTGTAAAGCAACTCACAGAAAGATCTCAAGGCAGTCAGTGTTAATTTCATGTCATCTTAAACCTGGATTCTTCAAACACTACTCAAAAATTTGGAGTGTTGCTAATTTGTATTCTCTTTTGCTTTCATCTGATTCTGTTTGCTTGCATATTTCCACAGGATTAGGAAAACAGTTTAATTTTTTAAATTGCTACATATTACCATGTTGTAAGAAGCATTTTTAATCCAGATACTTTTCCTTTTCCATTTTTGTCACATAGGAGACTGAACATATTTTGCCTTCTTTATATCCTCATCTAGAAACCAGAAGAGTATGAACTATCTTTTCCATTTCCTTCAGTAATTCTGTGTCTAGTTATGATGGTCTAAAATTGCCATATTTGTTTTCAAATCCTTTTGTGAAATAAATTATTCTTCATTTGTTATGCTATTTATCGCCTGTGAATTCTTGCGACAAAATATATTTTCTCTCTCGTAGGAGATCCTCATATGTTCATAAATCAAAAATTTATTTTGGAAAGGAAGTATGTCTGTGTGTGTATTGGTACTATCAAATGATAAAACCAGGATATTTTTTCCAGAAATTGCTCATATTTCAATAAAAGAAGTCAGCTAGGGAAGCTGTACATTCTACCTCTGCAGGTCATGTTGCACTTTTCCCTAGCCCAGAGGCTGATAGAGTAAGGTTCCAGTAGAAAGCCAGTAATCAATAATTTTCAATCAATGTATATAGAAAAATGTCAGCTACACTACAGGGTAATTCAAAAAACTATTTCCAAAACTGATTTAGGGGTGATTTAGCTGTATATTGTAAAGAAAGGAGTCATTTAAGGGTTCTTCAAATATTCAACTCTTGTCCAAATAATACCAACTCAGCTGTAAGCCAATGACCTCTTTGTCAAATACACAAGAGCTAAAATAGGTTTGTTTTTTGTTTTTTTAATTCCTGAACATTTTTTAATAAATTAGAAAAGCACAG